TAATCAATATACGGTGTACTTTTTTCTGTAATGCGCAAGCTAATATATTGGTTTTTAGGCGTGGGTTTCAATTTTATTCAATTTTTCGTATAAAATTAACATAATAAAATTACCGTAACTCTTACAAAATACTATGAATTGATATTTTGATATAATGTGCATGTATCGATATTTTTTTTTGTAGAAAAAGCTCTGGTCGATATATATATATATATATATATATATATTGTATAATTAGTGGGTCTCTATTTAATTTAGTTTTTGTTACGACATTTCAATTAATTTTTGTGTGAAATGCACTGTTTAATTTTTTAGCATGATAAATAGTGTCGATTTGTTTGGCATAAAATTTTTTATGATTGATTGCTTTTAAAGTTTTACTTAACTACTGAAATTTTTTTATTTGGATATTTTATACAAAAATAAATTCATTTTAATTAATTAAACAATATAATTTTCTTATTTTTACTTATTATTCACATAGGTTTTTAAATATATGATAAAATTATACCAAAATAATTATTTATGGAATCACGTTATAGTCAAATCGAATTTCTGAATAAAATTTTTGAAATGACACATACTTTGAAATGATATAATGTAATTTATTATCAATTGTGTGCAACGCACGGGATGTCTACTAAATTTAAATAGACATTTTTATATAATTTTGCACAATTTAAATTTTATATAACAATTTCAATAAATTATACAGGTACATTGTTTACATATTGATTACATGTTTCTAATTTATAAATATTATTTAATGAGAATTTTTAATTTATAAATATTAATTAATATCTTTTACCTGTGTATCGCACGAGATTCGTACTAGTATACATAAATAGAATAACCATTTACTAAAAATAGTAGTAAAAATTTTTGGAAACATTTAATGCATACTTTTTTTGGAAACTTTTTAAATATATGCATTAATTGCTTCCATATACACGTTTTCAAGTAAGAGCAAATTAAATATTATCAAAAATATTATTTCCTTAAATAACTTAATTAATATCTGCAATTATTTCATTGATATACATGATAATAAATTACATGATTGATTTTTCGTGATTCATATTGATAATATTTTGGTCAAGATAAATATTACAACATATTTTAAGTTCTAACCATAATATTAATTTTTTTCACAAATATTCACTTTTTATCTAAAATATATATAGTAAATCGTAACATGTTAGGTAAATTTTTTTCTTCCAATTAATCAGCAAAATCAAGATGATGAATTAATTTTTGCCAATATAATTTTTTCTTAAGCTTTATTTTGTTATATAAATAAATTATTCTTCAAATTCATATAATTTATCAATTAATTAAGAGATAATGATCAGATACATTAAATAGTTTTACTAATGGTCAAAATTAAAATTGAAATAATTTAATTGTTTTTAGAATTTATTTGTATATTATTGGCAACCATAATTATTTTTTTTATCATTTTTTTTATTTTGATTTTGATTTTTTTCTGTAATAAAATTCTTGTAAAATATATCTTCATTGCAGGGTATGCTAATTAATAAACTATAAATCTTTATAATGAAAATTAGAAAAATATGATTATAGAAGGGATTGAGTTTTTGGCATTTGCTAAATCAAAGTTGTTTAATAAGTATACAAAGTTAAATTCTAAAAAAACATGTGTGTATGTTTTGTAAAATATTTATACATTATTTAATTTAAAATTTATTTACATATTTTAAATTGATTACATAAATAAATAATACTAACGTCCATTAAATATTTTTCATTACAAAAAATAAAAAGAAAAAAAAGACGTACAACTCTTATAACTTTTATAAATAATAACGACATTATATGACAACAAAATTTATAATAAAATAATAATTAAGTATATATATATATATTACAATTAAATTTATATTAGTATAAATGTGTCAGTGAGATAATATATTAATTAGGTGGAAAATAGATTATAGCCCTATTTTTTTTAGACTTAACGCTCATTAAAAAAAAGTAGAAAATAAGTAATAATCCTATTGCTTTTAGACTTAAACGGACAGAGTCTGTGAAAATAACTCATTTAATATTTCTTTTTCGTGCATCGCAATTGTACATACTAGTTTATTCAGAATGTATCACATAAATGTGTAGTTACTTTTTAGTTATTTCCTATTTATCTATCTAATTTTTTATTCATTATTCTAACTAAAACATTTTCCCATTGCATCTTATGAATTTAAGCACATGATTAGTATCACATAGTTTTAAATATGAGGCAACTATACGACCTCTACAAAACAACTTAAGAAAAACATAAGTATAAGTAAATACTTATAAACAACAATAAGACAATTCTAAAACAACTGAAAAAAGTACAAAATTAATGTAAGGATATGAATTGTACTGAATATAAAATGAAAGTATAACAATGGCTCAATAATATTAATATCGCAATATGTTAAATTACAAGGCGATCACTGAAAAGAACACTGCATAAACAAATGTTAAAATTTATAACATTACAAATAAAAATATATTAGCATTGATACTATTATTATCATAAATTTTTTATATGTAAGTTAAGATTGAATATTTTGATTTAGTGTTACAGTTTGAAATGAGTGCAAATTAAATAAAATATTAAATATTCAGTTACAAGGTGGCTGCAGTTGTTTAAAATATTCCATCCTTGTGATAATTTTATTTTTTCATAAAAAGATCTTCAATTTGAATTGATAAAAGCAAAAGAAATTATTTTAATTTTCTTTTCTATTATGCCATACTTCTGATCTTTTTAATTGAATTTGATGTTAGTTTTTTATCCATATATGAATGGAGTCTTATGAGTGAGCGGTTATTTAACAAAAGCTAGTTACTTGTTATTTATTTATTTGCATATGAAGGAGTTATACATTTTTCCTATTTTAGAAGTGATTTGGCGTTTTTAAAATTCTATATGACTAATGTTTGAATGGAATGTTTGTATTTACTTTACATAGTTATTTTCTTGGGTCATTTACACATATACTACACAATTCAATCAAAATTGCAACTCTACCATCTTACTAAAATTAATTGCATGCTTACTTAAAATATTAGATTTAATTAGATTAATTCCTACTGTCAGTTACCATAATATCCAACGTCCCCCCTTAATTTTCGCTTGATTACTGTTTCACCTTATTAAAAAAAAACAAAATTAACGTCCAAAAAACCTGGAAAATATACACTCAGAAAGTTTATTGTGAATTTGAATCCAAAAACAGGTTGATCAAAAATCTGAAAAATTGTATGTTTAGTTTATATAACGTATATATTATACATATGAACTGTATATGTTTAGTTTATTTAACGTATATATTTTTATACATAATATTTACACATATGAAACTGTATATGTTTAGTTTATATGACGTATATGTTATCATCCACTAAAATTAGTTGCGTTCTGAAGACGGAGAAATCTTTGAAGAAATCTGCAGAGGAGGATAAGGATGAAGACGAAGCTTCTAAAGAGGCTAAAATCTCCGACTCTGCTATCTTCAAGGAAGAAACCAACAAGGCCGACGAGTTAATTAACCCGGAGAAAAAGGCACTGGACAAATTCAAGGTTCTGATACAAGACGCGCTTGGCAAGCGCGAGTTCTCCGCCCCGCCGCCTCCGCCGCTGACCACCGTCCAGGAGGAGGAGAAAAAGAAGAAGCCGAAAGCGGAGGAGAAAAAAGAAGAAGAAGAAAAGCCTAAGGTCGAAGAGAAAAAAGACGACGGCCCAAAAACTGAATCTTGCAGAGAAGCTCCGCCGCCGGCGGTTGGGCCAGAGAATAAAGTTGATAGTCCTAAGAGAAAGCGGAGGCCGCAGAGGAAATCAATGAAACTATCGTCCTTCTTACCATATGCCTCGGGGAACCATTTTTGGAACTGATTTTTTTTCTCTATTCGTTATATACAGAAAATGGTCAGATTTCTTAATTTTACTAATAAAATTTATATATCTTTTATATGCAATAATTAACGGATGTGCACGTTGGCAAAGTAAATTTCTCTATCTTTTTATTCCTAAATTTGTAAGATATTTAGGCTCATATAATATTCTTACGATATGTAGCCCAATAAATAATAAATTTTAGGCCCAAGCCTCAGCTCGCAGCCCTCCCTTCTTCGTGAGCCCACACTTGTTTCCAGTAGACTATGTGTCACCGACGAAGAATTGGATTTACGGTACATATATATATATATATATATATATATAGAGTTGGGATCACATGAAAATGATAAATAGTAAAAGAAATAAGAATGTGGTAGATAGTAAAAGAAATCTATACATATATAAAAAGGAGTACCATTTTCAAAAATTAGTAAGTGGAAAAGTCAGAACAATTAATGCATTACTATTTTGAGAGCATATAATTTTTTTGCATTATTTCGAATGGAAAATAAAATCACCATTTAATTACAAATCTAACAGAAGCTATTAAACCAGATTTCACGCGTCCATAACCATATTTCACGCGACCATTTATTTGGAAATTTTTTTATACATAATATAAAATAAAATCTGCATTTATTTAGGAATGCGCAATTGTTTCAAATATTTTTTTCTAAATCTTCTACAGATTTCGCGGGTGCAATTGTTTGGAATGTTTTTTTTAAGCAATTAAAAATTATATAAAAGATAATTATCTGATTTGTTACTACAGATAATGATGTTGCATGATTTTTTGGTACAAACAATTGTGATTGTGTCGAAATAAATTATAGTACTTATTTTTTGATCTGATTTTTTACTACAGATAATTATCAAATCTGATTTGTTACTAAAGATAATGATCTGAACTTATTTCACACGTTATTATCTTCTTTAAAAACAATTCAACGATGCAATTTAAATTACAAATCTTCAAACACTGAATCAACGAGTCTCTCTCCTTCGACCTCCTGCAAAAAACCAAAAAACTCATCAAAAAATGAATCAAGGATTTGGCTTAATCGACCAAGTCAATAGGTCTACGAGACCTATGCTTAAAGTTCGTATTGTACGAATGTTCTTCCAAGACTGGGGCAGTACATACAAATCCTATCTTGAGTTGGTTCTTCATGATAAAACTGTAAGCCCAATTATGTATACGTACTTTTTTTAATAGGATTATCAAATATAATTTTGTATATATATAATATAATAATATAGACTTTTGTGTTTTATTTTTTTTTAAAAATTTTTTTTTCTCATTGATATATCGTTTTCGTATAATTTTAGGGAAATCGCATTACAGCATTGCTACGGGCAATCAATTTGACTGCGTTTAAGGAGAGAAACTTTGAAGAGGGCATGGTAATTTGTATAAGAAATTATCAAGTGGACAGCAATATAGGGAAGTATCGCGCCACATCTGGTGATTTTAAGATCTTGCTACACGGGAGCACTATGTTTTCAAAGTGCAAGGACGAATTTCCTATTTTTCGATTTCAATTCAAAGACTTTGCAACTTTGCAAGATGTCAATCAAATTGATGAATCGATTTTATTCGGTAATATTCTTTTATGATGTGTAGAAAATTATTTCTTTATTTTAAATTAATTAAATTATAACATAACTGTTATTTTTTAATTATAGATGTTATAGGATTAGTCATTGACATTCAAAGTATCCAAGAGAAACAAATAAAAACTGGGGATACAAATATGGCTGCCTTCATTCTGATGGATCTCAAGTAAGTTTTTCAGATTTATTACATATATTTTTTGCTATCACGTTTTTTTATAAGATTTTCCAATTAATAAATATATATATATATATATGTTTTTCCTGTTTTTTGTAAGTATAGATTTCGCAATTGTGATTGTTCTTTTATGATTTTTTTCTTATTAAATGCAGTGAAAATTTTATAAATTGCACGGTTTGGGGTGAGTATGTCGATCAGCTTTTGGCTTTCGAAAGCCATTACGAAGAAACTGGACAACCATGGGTACTAATAATGCAACTTGTACGTTCTAGAGAGTACCAAAGTAAGTATTTTTTCAATTTCAATTATTACAGTTATTTAAAAGTTCCATATTAATTTCAATTCTATAATTTAAAAATTAGCCCAATCATTTTTTTATCGTTTGAAACATATCATTTCAATGTACATCCTGCAAAGTATCATTTCAAAATCTTAACATGAAAATGTTAAATATTGTATGTAGATAAGGTACAGGTTACTACTTCATTAAACGTTACCAAGTTGATTGCCCATGACTCTGTTGATGAGATACGTGAGTTTTCGACAAGGTAATAATTTGGTCCGTTGGACAATTTCAATTAGTTAAGACAATTCTTATTATTGTATATGTATATATCGTATATTATATAGATTTTGTTTTAAATCTTAACTTAATTTTTTTTATAATAATAGGTACTCAGCAAGCAACCTGAAGGTGAAAAAATACACTTCAAATTCAAAAACTGTCGTCAAGACGGAACTAGATGAGTTGTTGTCGGGTGAGAAACAAGTTTCTTCGGTGTTTGCTTTGTTCGAAACTAAAGAGGTAGCTATATTCTCTAAGTCATGGATACTAAATATTATTTCAATATATTTGTATTAATTTCAAAATATATGTAATAATTTCAATATATATGTATTAATTTTCGAACTTTGATGAAGCCCAAGAACATGTGGGTATGCGCTACGATTGACTCTGTTGTGGACAATTGGTGGTATTTTGCTTGCCGAAGTTGTAGCAGCAAAATGATAAATTCAGACAATGGCTTCAAGTGCGCCAAATGTTCAAAAGAAGCTGGGAAGTTTAGGTAGCTCTACATTTGTTAATGGTTTACTTTGCTTTTGTTCATTGATTTTCAATGTTAATATTTTTTTTATTTTGTAAATTATTAGGTACAAGATGAACTTGCTCATATCGGATGCAACTGCTAATGGGACTTTTGTTTGTTGGGACAAAGAATCTGAAATTCTTATTGGGAAATCTTGCCATGCTTTGAGATCTGAATCTATGCGCAAGGTTATATTTCCATCCTATGTTTTTTAAATTTAGGAACATTTAATTGTGAATGCTAACCTTTGAAATATTTTTTTTCCATAGAATGCTGCTGAAAACTATGATTTGCCGCATGATATTACAAGGTTGATTGGGCAGCATTTTCTGTTTAAAGTCCGCATTCAGAAGCAAAAGCAAGGCTACAACCAAACGTCCTCCTTTAGTGTTTGTAGGGTAATAATGAACAAGGATGTGGTTTCTAGGTACAACCAACTGATTATTCAGCCTGAGGTAAATTGTATTGTTTTTTTTAGACAAATCGATTATAAATTATTTAGTTTGCATGTTGCTTACGTTATGCATTTCTCTATTTCAGGTTTCCGACTATTTTACCATGCTACAGAGTAATGACAACACCTATTGGGTGGTAAGTTTGTTTACTTTCAACAATTAAATGAAAATGAATAACATTTTTCTAACTTTTACATTTATAATATTATTATTTATTTATGTAATATATAATTATATTATTTAAGGATGATGATGGGGATGAGGAGGTTTCTACACCTCTAAAGAGGGCAAAGGAAATAGAGAAGATTGGCGATTCATCAGCAAAGCGAAATTTGAGTGAAACATTTGACAACGAGGATCCTAAGCTAATGTTGTCTACAACAGCTGATAAAGGAAAGGCAAAAGTGTATGATGATGGCTCTCTTATGCCAGAAAATGAAAAGGATGAAGAAGACTGACTGGAAGATTATTATTAGTTATGGAATATTATGAAGAGTTTTTATTTTTATTATTATTCTTATTAGACAATTATTATGTTTTCAGTTTTATTATGCTTTTTAGTTTTAAAAACAGACATATTGCTGTTTTTCATTTAATGGATTAGAATAAGCAGCAGTACGGCTGCGAGCATGAATTTATTTATTTTGCAGAACTTTGTTTCATTATCTTTTTTATTAATCAACTTTGTTTCATTATTATTATTACAAAAAAATATCAGTTTTTTAATTTTGTTATAGATTGACATTGTGTAAACACAAAAGTATTTACAATAAACCATCACAGAAATTATTTTTCCCCTGCAAACATATTACATGACTTACAGAACAACATCAACATTACAACGAAAGAACAGAAATATAATTGGAATTTTTAAATCATCACACATATTTCTCAACATTACACAAGGGCGGAAAAGATATATAATGGGAATTCATAAATCATCACATCACATCACATAAAAAAAAAAATGAATGCTAAAAACAATAAAAAAAATATACGCATATAAGATAATATAAATATACATAATATAGATAGATATGCTTATTATAAATTAAATAAAAAAAGATATACTCATATAAGATAACATAAATTTGCAATAAATAGTTATAGATTACTGTTTATTCGAAAAAATAAATAAAATGCCAGATTTACATGGGATAATTTAGAAGGAAAAAATATAAATATTTTATTCATGATTCAGTTACCTAATAAGCTGATTTGTTTCTCATATCTATCTAATCTAATACGAATTTCCTTAAAAAAATGAGTATCTTACGTGATCTTTTATGATATATATCTTAACAAAAACACTGTGTATATATAAGTATAGATATTATCGCTCATTCTAGGTCATTTTTTTTCTATACACCGAGAACAAGGTTGTGTTACTTATTCTTCTTATAAAATTATCTCCTTCGGTATCAGTTTCAATTATCTTTGATTGCAGTTTTTTTTTAATTTATTTTGAAATATTCTGTGATAGTGAATTGGAGAACCGAACGAAAATGAGGAGCAGTACAAAGGATGCAGACAGAACAACTTGCAGAAGAGGTGAAACGCATAAAAATACAGACAATCAGAGATATTGGTACACGGATCGACAAAACACAATCAATCTTTCACCAGAAACTGTAAATCATGCCCGGGAAGGTAATATAT